ATAGTGTGGAAAATACGGTATAGGGGCTATAGCCTATATATAAATATATATTTTCTATTCATTTGCTGCTATTATGCGCAGTTGAGTGTATACAATACAGGTTTACTGTGCGTGTCACATAAAGTGTACTTCTGTTGCTTGCAAACGTACTCTTCTGAGGCGCCAGGGATTTCCAAATGTGTTGCTCTACTTCCAATGCACGAATACACTGCAGGCTCACTCTCGCTCTTATCCAAGGTAAATCATCAACACTATCCCTTACAAGTGTTTTATTTAACTGAATTCATCACAATAAGGACACATGCACAGGATACTTTACTTCCTGAAGAAGTGCGCGCCCTAATCCGTGTTGCTTTCACATTCACGCAAATGCGGAATGATGGGAGGAATTTGGTGGGAAGCTAAAATAATCTAGTTGTAGTCTTATGAATAGTTTCACTACAAGATTCAGTGTTTGTAAAATCTTTAGTCTGAGACTAAAAACTCTGAACCCTATGGAAGCCCGTTTCCGCCACAGTTGAGTAAAAAAATATAATTCTGTAAGTTAAAATAATGAGAAACTTTCTCATTATTATGACTTAGTTTCTCATTATATTGAAAAAGTTTCTCATAATAATGACTTAGTATCTCATTATAATGAGAAACTTTCTCGTAATAATGAGAAACTTTCTCGTAATAATGACTTACCATCTCATAATAATGACTTAAAGGTGCAATACCTAAGATTTAGATGCCGCTAGAGGGCGCTACATTCAAAACAACAACAATGGCTTTGCTTGATGACGACGTGGAGGAACGCGGAATGATGGGAACTGTTGTTTTCAACTCCACCGTGGATAAATCAGTCAGACGGGAATCGAAAAGTAGTTGTCATGGATGAGGTAAAGTTCGATTTCTATAAACGCTGCGTTTAATGACATGCTTGTTTTTCATTAAACTGAAATAACCGCGCAAGAAAAGTCAGGTTTAAAAGTAAATTAGTTATCACAGATGTTACTGTACGAGTCACTGGACGAAGCTATGGTGGAGAGGGTTTGAAGGGGCAGGTCTCTTGCAAGGAGTTGACGTGGCTGGTCCTCCTTGGTAACTTTATAAAAATAAAAAATCAATTTAATGTCAGTTATCCCAACCTGCAAGAATTCATTTCCAGGAGGTATATTTCGATAACAAGATTGTGGGGGTGGGAGGGAAGGCTAACTTTCGCGTTCGCGAGGCACACTCGCAAAGTCTCTCCCTCTGTACAGTCCACGCGCAGCGCGCTGTATGTTATGCGCGCAGTATGTCTCGCTCTAACATTATATCCCGGGAGATTTTAACTAATTTGCGGGCATCAGGGAAACGCTATCAATATGCGGGACTCCCGGAACTTCCGGGAGACTTGGGATGTCTGCAATGTACATTTGACACATCTTTTCATGTCGTGTAAGTATTCAACCACAGCTACAGTTTCACAAAATTAACGTTAAGGGGGTCGCACACCGGACGAGAAGCTGCAGCGCCGCGTTATTAGGCTATCTATAAGTGTACACATACCGGCGGCGCCATTCGGCGTCTGTCCGCGGCGCCCAGCAACGTTTCAGGACCGTGTTCAAAACCCTGCTACGCCACAGAGCGCCATTTACATAGTTTTATATAAAATTGTAATTATTTTTGCCTCAAACCGTTGCTAATGGATCCTGACTTTGCCCTATGCTGCAATATGCATTTAGATTTGCAGTGATTTACAGAAATCAGCTGCTTGAATGACAATTACTGATTATTATTAGATTTTTCAGGTGAGATTCTCAATTCATTCTGTGAACGGATTCTCTGAGGTAAAGTTTTCTTAATTGTACAGTACAATAACATAGAACAGACATTATCTTCATTTTCTGTCATTAAACATAACAATATGCTGGCCATGCACTCATGAGAAAGTGCGCGTCCGGTGTTCGATAACGTTACTGCGGAGTTGTCCTAATGTGGCGTGGCGCTTCTCGTCCGGTGTGCGACCCCCTTTACAGCCAACAGTTCACATTCCGAGAATAAATGAAAAGAATATACGTGCTCCATTCCATAACAAATGCGCGAAACAAGCTGTCGTTTGATAGACGCTAACGCACAACTACAACTACCGCATTTGTCCAGGACTACACGTAGTAAGAGCGGAAACCGAGGTAAGCGGATATGACGCGATTGACTCGCGACTCCCAGCTCACCCCTGCTGACACGTTCCGTTTCCTTGGTTAAAATCTCAATTTTCTCGCGATTTAAACATTGTTTGAAACATTTGGAATATTGTGAGTTATCATCTTTACTAAATATATAACACTGGCCTTGTGATTTTGGGATATTTTAATGCAAAAATCTTAGGTATTGCACCTTTAATATCTTATAATAACGAGAAACTTTCTCTTAATAATGAGAAACTTTCTCGTAATAATGACTTACCATCTCATAATAATGACTTAATATCTCATAATAACGAGAAACTTTCTCGTAATAATGAGAAACTTTCTCGTAATAATGACTTAAAGGACAACTCCGGCGCAAAATGAACCTTTAGTCTAATTACACATTGTTACCTAGTCAACCATTATCTGAGATTTGTTTTCATGATTGCCGAATGTAAATTGTTTTATCTCTAAAAACAGTTTAGCCTATAACGCTAGTATAATGCTAGTATATAAGGCATAGAGTAATGACAAATAAAAATCGCTTGTTATTACCACTAACAAGGCTCAAAATAGCCCCACACTAACACGACAGCATAACAAGGGTCCCTACATTCAAACCGAAGCATTGAGAACGTTGTTAGTGTCCATAAAGTTTAATAAGAAGATATTTTATACACACAGTCAACTTCGCGAATACAGGAAGAAGCCATCTTGGAAAAATAGTCTCTACCAGTCGATCTACGAACGCCGATCCAAGTGCGGTGGTGAGATGTGAATAAGGTGATAAGGTGAGCGCGAACAGTAGGCTACGTGTACATATTGAAGAGAAGAAAACGGTTTGTGTTTGTGTTTCTTCCGGAAACAACGGACTCTGCACAGTTCAGCGCACTTGGATCGGCGTTTGTAGATCGACTGGTAGAGACTATTTTTCCCAGATGGCTTCTTTCTGTATTCGCGAAGTTGACTGTGTGTATAAAATATC